AGCCTGTAGTCCCAGCTACTTGGAAGGCTGAGGCAAGAGAATCGCTTAAGCCCAAGAGTTTGAGGTTGCTGTGAGCTGTGACATCATGCACTCAACAGAGGGCGATGTAGTGAAACTTTATCTCAAAACAAAACAAAACAAAACAAAATGGCATTGCTAAGCTCAATGGGGGAGCTACCAGCTCTAAATGAGCTAACACACTGGGGTGCGGGTGGGCCCCATGCTTGACCCTCCTCAGGTGTTCACACTTGGGAGCTCTAATGACTCCTCCTCCTGGAGGACATGGTACGGGGGCTGGATAAGGCTGGTTCTCAGCTGTTCCTACACCCTCAGGCATAGGCCATGGAGCAGCTCAGGTTGGAGAAAGAGTGGAGACTGGGAAGGGTCCAAGGACAGGGCCAAGAGGGCAAGATGTCCTAGGGGAAAGGGGCCCTGTTAGGAAAGCAAGGACTTACCTCGGCTTTGCCACTGGGGACTGCGCTGGCAGGCACCTTAGTGGGCACTGAGCTAGTGATCACTTTGGATGGCGCTATGCCGACACGTGTGGAGTTAATGGGCAATTTGGATGGTGCTGGATTGGTGAGCACATTAGAAGGCACTGTACCCAGGGACTTCGAGCTGGTGGGCAGCTTGGAAGGCACTGTGGTCACAGGCATCAAGGTGGCAGGCACTTTGGAAGACACTGTGCTTGTAGTCACAGAGGTGGTGGGTGCCTCTGCTCCACTGCAGCAGACAGTAGGCTCAGCCTGGTCACCATCACCCCCTGCAGAAACTGAGCCAGTGGATGAGGAGGAGGCAGAGGGGCCTGTAGATGGAGCTGGCACTGCGGGCCCAGGCAAGCGGCTTGCCCTGGGGGTGGAACGGGCCAGTGGCTGGAAGGACACAGTTGGAGACACTGGCCCACGGGATGGCGTGAGGCTGGAGACCGTACCTGTGAGTGGCAAAACACAGTGGAAAGGACTATTACCCTGAAAGCTGGAGAAGGGTCTCTTTGCCCCAGTCACACACCCCACTGCATCTAGGCCTCCTGCCCTTGGAGGAGGCTCCACAATCCCTTTGGCACAGCTCCCAGGCCTGAAGGCCCAACAGCTATACTCAGTCGGTGACCGTTAGCCCCAAGTCTGTGGTGTAACAGAATGAAGTGATCCCTCCCTCCAACAGCACCTAGGAGTCTGAAGGTCATTGCTGAACATTCTCTTTGCTTTGTCTTCTCCCTCCCGAGACACCCCCTTTCCTCCTGGCTGTGCTTTTCTATGTTCTCCTTGGCCTGGAGGAGTCCCCACTGCTCCCCTGCCTCCAGCAGAAGCAACCCTGCATCAGGGCAAGGAGCAGCAGGACAGCTCCTACAGAACAGGTTACACTAACTGATACCCAAGGCCAGCCAGTCCCCAGAGGCCTGTGAGACAGGGGTAGGAACAAAGTCACACCTGGCAAGAGGCCTGAGCTGGGGAAGCAAGAGGCAGCAGCTGGTGACCATGCGTAAAGGCAGCTGCATCAGAATTCTCCATGGAACTCTGAGGACGCACATGCCAGGCCCCACGGCAGACAAAGGTCGGGGTGATTCTGATGAGACCCCCCTCCCCAGGTCTAACACCACAGAATCTCACAGGACCTGTGTGCACAAACATCCTGAAATGTAAGTGTCCTCTGCTTCTATAGTCCACAGCAGTAAGTCCTCAAGGGTGTTCCATGACAAGGTGACACTGTACAGTACAAACAGGTGCCTGGGGAAGTTCAGGGCAGACAGAAGCACTAAGATGACTTCTCCCAGCCTTTTACTGCTTGTGTGCTGTGTGGCTGGCCTAGGGCACTGAGTGTTATGTGGAAAAACAGTTCAGGAAGTAGCTGAGAGACCTGCTAGCTGGGCAGGTTAGGGGGTCTGAGGTCTGGAATGGGTTCAGGCCCCTGGCTGACAAAGATCTTACTTCCTCTGGGGACTGAGAATTTTAGTGATTTGCTGGGAACTGGAGACCCCTTTGAGGTAGGGCAGAGCCAAATGGCTTACCTGCCAACAGCCAGCCACCCCTGCACTGCCCTCCTCCACTGTCCTCTACCCCTGGCTGATTCCTACAGAGTCCCTTGGCTGAAGTGTAGAAATGGCCCTAATTCTCTTCCCACCTGTGCCCATACCTTCTGCAATATGACTTTGCCAGTCCTCTCGTCTAAGGATGGAGTCTATTTCCCCACTTCCTGAATCTCAGCTGGTTTTATAACTTGCTTTGGCCCACGGAATGGGGCAGGGGTGGTTTGTGCCACTTTTAAACCCCTTCCCTCACTGAACTCTGCCCAGCTGCCATGAGACAGGTCTGTGTGCTGAGGATGAGAGATGACATGGAAGAGAACTGATGTGCCCCAGCCAACAGCCAGCAGAGCTTACATACTGCTGAGTATAGAAGAGGAAAGTCAGCCAAAATCAGAAGAATTGCTCAGCTGGGTCAACCCAAATGGCTGACCTACAGACTCATGTGCTAGGTAAGTAGCTGTATTTTAAGCTACTAAAAAAAAAAAAAAAAAAAAAAAAAAATGGCTTGGAGCCTATAGCTCAGTGGCTAGGGCACCAGCCAAATACACTGGAGCTGGTGGGTTCAAATCCAGCCCAGGTCTGCCAAACAACAATGACAACTACAACCAAAAAATAGCCGGGCGTTGTGGCGGATGCCTATGGTCCCAGCTACTTGGGAGGCGGAGGCAAGAGAATCACTTAAGCCCAAGAGTTTGAAGTTGCTATGAGCTGTGATGCCACAGCACTCTACCCAGGGCAACACCTTGAGACTTTGTCTCAAAAGAAAACCAACCAACCAACCAACCAAACAAAAAGGGCCAGGTGCAGTGGCTCACACCTGTAATCCTAATCTTAGCACTTTGGGAGTCCAAGGCGGGTGGACTGCCTGGGCTCAAGGGTTTGAGATTAGCCAGAGCATGAGCAAGACTCCATCTCTAAAAGTAGCCAGGCATTGTGACAGGTGCCTGTAGTCCCAGCTACTCAGCAGGCTGAGGCAAGAGGATCACTTGAGCCCAAGAGTTTGAGGTTGCTGTGAGCTATGATGCCACGGTACTCTACCAAGGGCAACAAAGTGAGACTGTTTCAAAAAAAAAAAAAAAAAGTTTTGGACTGTTTGTGACATAGCAAATGCTAACTGACTGATACATCCTCTAAGGAATTCACCTGGGGTGAACTCCCTTCCTGCCACCTTGCCTCCTTTCCCTCAGGGAAGCCAGAGGGGCAGCTCTAGTCCTCACCCTCACTTGGAAGGTCAGACAAGCCCCGTAACTCCGGGTTCCATGCGCACCTGCTGTGTGGGAACTGCTCAGTTCTGTGTTCTGCTTCTGGTGCCCACTAGAGATGCGAGGGCTGAGGGGTGCCAGGTCAGAAGAGGTCTGCAGGGGGCCACTTGGCCTCCTTGGGATGGCTCCAGAGCTGGATGTCAGCGGGGCTTCCTTTGAACTCTGCAAGGGGGAAAATACGAATAAGGCAATGAGCTCTTTTTTTTCATTTTTTTCTTTTTTTCTTGAGACAGAGTCTCACTCTGTCACTCTGGGTAGAGTGACGTGGCATCATCACAGCACAAAGCAACCTCAAACTCTTAGGCTTGAGCACTCTTCTTGCCTCAGCCTTCCAAGTAGCTGAGACTACAGATGCCCCCTCAACACTTGGCTAATTTTCCTATTTTTAGTAAAGACAGAGTCTTGCTCCTGCTTAGGCTGGTCTCAAATTCCTGGGCTCAAGCCATCCACTCACCTCAGCCTCCCAGAGTGCTAGGATTACAGGCGTGTGCCACTGTACCTGGCCAAGGCAGTTACTTCTCCCAAGAGCAGACAGAGCACAGCTTATGCTCTGGGGGCATCTCCTACAGGCCTCTACCCACACCATGGCGCACAGAAATTAAGGGAAGCCTGCCTTGGTTCTAGTAATTGCCGTCATCTGCCCTCAGTGACCCTGCATCTACCAATTAGAAAACACACACCATCCAATGGGGAGTCCCTCTCTATCTGCTGGCCCTGTAGAAAAGTCTGCCTCTCTGTAGCCACTGCACAGGCCTCTTTCTCAGGCTTCAGGTCCATGGTCAGGTGTCTTCTGGAGACCCCAGTGCCCACTCAGCACATCTCAGTAGAATCAGTTATCTTCCCCCCAACTCTATTTTACTGGCAATAATGACAGCCCCACCACCCAGCCTGATGAATTCCTGCTCCCTCACTCCCTTCATCTGGTCACTCCCAAGGTTCCCCCACCCAACTCAACATCACACATGGACCACAGCAAGGACCTCTAGACTATGGCCTCCCAGGTAATTGGTAACAGGGGATTGTGGGCTGTCACAGGTTAAAGACCTGGTCAAAAGTCCAGAAGCTGGTCTATGGCAAATCCCTACTGGGGAGCCATGGGGTACTGAGCAAAAGTAGGCAGACAGGAACATAAAAGCAGGCTGCTTGGGGGGCACCCATAGCTCAGTGGTAGGGCACTAGCCACATACACTAAGGCCAGCAGGTTTGAACCCAGCTCGGGCCAGCTAAAACAACATTGACGACTTCAACAACAACAACAAAAAAAATAGCTGGGCACTCTACCCAGGGTGATAGCTTGAGACTCTGTCTCAAAATAAATAAATAAAAATAAAAGCAGGCTGCTCAAAGTAGATTGTGAAGACAGACCTCTCCCAGGGACTCTGGCAGCTGGGTGTCCTGGACAGGAGTGGGGTAACTGGGCTCCATCTCTCTGTAGCCGTTGTAGGGCAGGCTGTGGGCTGTTATAGGTATGGGGGGACCTGGAACCTCAGCAGGCACTGACAGCGGCTGTGGTGAGGCTGGGGGGAGACTTGAGGTCCCTGGAAGATAAAGGTACAGTGGTAACAAGAAGGAATTAGGGGTATTCCCATGACAGGAGAGGCTGGGTACTCTCGGACCTCCCGTGGTTCTAAAAGCTGTCCTGGGCTACAAGCATCACTGGAAAAGGCAGGAATAGGAGGGAGAGGGGAGGTGGGGAGGTGGGGAGGATAAGGAGAAGCAGCAAGGGGATAGGAGGACCTCAGGAGCCTCTCAGCACCTGCACTGGGTCAGTAGTTGTTCCTTCTCTTGTCAGCAGGCATCCTAGGCCCCAAGGGCTTTCTCCTCCTTGTGCTGTCACTGTCAACTGGCCCATGTCCTGAGGCTGTCTCCTCAGCCCTGCCCTTTACCTCACCACCTACTCTGGCCCTGCCATAGCCATCTATATTCTGGGGGAATCACTATTAATCTCTACATATGAAGGAAGGGATGGAGGGAAAGGCAGGCTGAGAAGAGAAGCAAAGCAAACAGGGATGTCCCAAAGCTGTAGCGCTGACTGCGATCTAGTGACTACCTCTGCTTTGGAACATAAATAGAGCTGGCTCAATTGTTCTTCCTGTTCCCCCTCAAACCCCATCTCACCAAACTCCCTTTGGGTACTGGGACTGGCAGGGACACTGAGAAGGGGGCTCAGGGGTGGCTGGGCAGCTAGGGTTGGGGGCTAGAAGGCTCTGGAGAAACCAGGGAGGTGAAGAGAAGGTGCAGGGAAGGAGATGAATGAATGGGTGTGGGGAGAGAACTGAGGAAGGGTGGAGGCGAATGCTATCACCAAGGAAGTTAGAGGCGGCCCCGTTTGCTGAGCACATGGAGAAGCCGAGCCCAGCTTGATAGTTGCTGTCCCACAGTATCTGTCTACTGAAGCTCTCTGTGGTAGATGCTGCCACGAGCTTCATTTTATAGAAAAGAAGACTGAGGCTCAAAGAAATTAAAGGACTTGGCCAAAAAGACACAGCTGGTGAAAGGCTTACCCAGGATCTACACCCAGGTTTGTCTGTTGCTCCAGGGGGACAGGAAGGAGAGTGACAGAGAAAGGCAGGAGGTACAGGGGAGAGGGGTGAAGGAGAGTGGAGGCCTGGGAGGCAGGCAGGGGGTGCGGGAGGAGGCCCAGGGCCAGGAGCTCACGAGGCAGGTAGCTGTGGTAGACACGGGCCACTTCATCAGCGAGACCAGACAGCTCACATCGCCTCAGTGCCTCAATGAAGAAATCCACCCAGTGTGTCCGCCGCTGGAGGCGGTTGAAGAGTTCCCAGAGGGTGTCCTGGTTCCCCCGCTGCGAGTAGAGGGCCCGCAGTCGATCCTGGAAGACACAGTGCCCTCCACTCACTCAAGCCAGGTGGCCTTGGCCCTTTCCCCACCCAGAAGAGGGGAGCCCCCAGAATCAGGGGCACACCAAGAAAGCCACAGTGGGAGCCCAGGACAGGCCAGGGTTAGAGCCCAAGTGTGATGTGAGGAAGACCCATCAGCAACAACCACAAGCAGCTGCCGGGAAATAGGCTGTGGCTGTGTCCCAAGCTCTCCGTTAAGGGCTTTGCATAAATCATCTCATTGAATGCTATCCTTATCCCCGCCTTACAAATGTGGGAACGGAGGTTTAGCAGAAGCAAAGTACTGCGGCAAAGATCCTACAGCAGCAGGTACAAACCCATTAATCTGATGCAAAAACCTTAGGCCCAAAGAAAGAGCCAAAAGAAAAGTCTGGATTAGTAGAGAACGAAGAGGTACATAGCAAAAATCAGATGAAAGGGGGCAAAAGAGGAAAAGGGAGGGGGCCGACAGTAAGACACAGAGGAGCTGGAATGCCAGGGGAATTCTGGGAAGACAGCAGGGGCAGAGTGTTGCACCTACACGAATTCCCACACCAATCCCAGATAGCAGAAGGGAAAACCCACAGAAAATATTTCCTGCAAGACTAGGTAGCCCCACAAACCTCAAACTATCATACAAGAGGGAGGGACAAACCCTACCAGCCACAGACTACTACTAACTTCCCCTGTGGGAGGAAGCGGGAGAAAGCTCCTGAGAAGCAGGACACAGGACCCCAAAATAGCCAACAGGTATCCTCTGGGAGCACAAGGGTCCAATTCAACAGAAACAGCTAAAGGTGGGAGGGGGTTGGCCCTCTTCACTAGCTAGTGGGGGCCTGCAGCAAGTCCTGCTGGGGGGCTAGAGTGATCTGGCTCCTATGAACCCTCAAAACTGAGCCCACAGCTCCCTGCCAAGACAGGGCCTCATGGAAAGGAGAATGGAATTGACAGGACAAGGACAAGATTGATGACGGAAAAAAGTTTCCAAAACAGTGGGGCGGGGTGAGGGAACCAGCGCCAGGAAATCTCAGAGAGCCAGAGCCATGTTTCAGAGCACTGCACAAAAGCAACACAAGGGGGAGCTCCATGAAGTTAGAAAAACCACCCTGACCCACACTCCATCTAAAAGTTAGAAAAGTAGCAAGGACAAGAAGCAGCACCATGAGGGAGAAGGAAGGAGTGAGGAACCAGGATGGGGCTGAGCTTTAATTACACAGCCCTGGTCCCAGTCCAGTGTCCACTGGCACCTCCCTGGCTCACCTGGTCACTTGCTGTGAGGCAGGGCAGGTAAGACAGGATCTCCAGAACATCAACACGGCAAAAGCTGCTGTGATGATGGCAGATGTACTTATAAGTCTTTTCCTCAGCAAACGTCATCACTGCTCAGATTCTGAAGAGAGGGGGATCTGGCCCGGGGAAGAGTGGACGTACTGAGAGAGTAACAAGACTGAAAGAAAACAGATCACACACAGCAACAGGATTGGGCAGTGAGGCTGGACAAAAGGCACTTCTTTCTCAACTTTTTGCAATTTTAACTTCCTTCCTTCCCAAATGTGATGTGAGGAAGACCCATCAGCAACAAACAGGCTGGGAAACAGGCTGTGGCTGTGTCCCAGACTCTCTTTCTGACAGGGCCTGGCTCTGTTGCCTGAGCTAGCATTATCACAGCTAATTGCAACCTCAAACTCCTGAGCTCATGCAATCCTCCTGCCTCAGCCTCCCCAGAAGCTGGGACTACAGGCATGCTTCATCACACCAGACTAATTTTTCTTTTTCTTTCTTTCTTTCTTTTTTTTTTTGTAGAGATGGGGTTTAACAATTGCTCAAGCTTCTGGCCTCAAGAGATCCTCCTGCCTTGGCCTCCAAAAGTACTAGGATTACAGATATTAGCCACTGAGCCTGGCCCTATTTCATCTTTAATTTCCATAAACATCCTGTTTTATTATTGCCTGGGACCCAGAGGCTCTTAAAGAATTGGCTTAAAAATGAACTGATAAGGGCAGTGCCTGTAGCTCAGTGGGTAGAGCACTGGCCACATACACCAAGGCTGGCAGGTTCGAATCCCACAGTAACAACTGCAACAACAACAACAACAAATCCAGACATTGTGGTGGACGCCTGTAGTCCTAGCTACTTGGGAGGCTGAGGCAAGAGAATCATTTAAGCCCAAGAGTTTGAGGTTGCTGTGAGCTGTGATGTCACAGCACTCTTCCCAGGGTGACAGCTTGAGATTCTGTCTCAAAAAAAAAAAAAAAAAAAAAAAGAACTGATGACTATCAGCTCCTTAAAAGGCTGAGACAGAGAATCACTTGAACATAGGTGTTCAAGGCCTATCTGGGGAACATGGCAAGATCCTGTCTTAGAAAAAAAATTGTTTTAATAAAATTTGTTTCAATGACCAAACAGAATCAGATCCAGAATATTTAGGGCCCATTCCTGCCTACAGGTTGGTCAGCATTAGGGAGGGTCTACATGTGCCTCTAGGTTCAGTGCCTGTGATGTACTAACTCCCCTCTTGGCTCTAAGGCTCTCAAGCTGATAGCAAGAGGGTTCTGCTGCTTGAAAAGGAGGAAGCCCAACATGATAATAATATGAAGAAAATGAAGTATTAAGAAATTAAAAAGGGGCTCGGCGCCTATGGCTCAACCGGCTGGGGTGCCAGCCATGTGCACCTAGGGTGGCGGGTTCG